AGTATAACGACATACTAAATAGATCATACTACTATGAATTCAAATGATGAAATATAGGATAGGCACATATCAATCTTACCACTTACCTACATCTCCCACACCTATGGGAATTACTCACACGTCATAAGAGGGGAATCAATCACAACAGAGAGAAAAACCATGAAAACCATATCTCAGATGAATGGAGTAGAGATTACAAATTCCAATCCCTCTTACAATAGTGAAGGAGGTGATGATGATGATGATGGAGATGGAAGGACCAAAAACTACAATGATCTTCTTGAGTTCTCCGGATCCTCTCTTCTCCTATTCTGGATGGTGTGGCGATGGCTAGGGTTCTCCTCCCCTCGTGGTACCTTCATGAAAGTTGCTTGTATAGATGAGGAGGGGCTGTGGGCACTCCAAATGACCGCTCAAACGGGCGCGTGCGGTCGTATTGAACGCCATCTTTCACTCTGGTGCAACTGTTGATGATGCTCTCTTCAAGAAGTTGCTCCAATTAGCTTTGCAGCAATCTCCTTTCGTTTCCTTCCAAATATGATATTTTCTTCCATCCAAAGTACAAAGTAGATTTTCCTCTCTTTTATTGGATTAGCATTAGAAATCTCTGAAGAATAACGAAAATCCAATGAAACCAAATGGAAATCACTATGAAAAACATCGTAAATTCTTGAGCCATCAGCTGGCCACCCGGTGTCGTGGCCCCTACCTTGCAATGAGATGGATAATGATCTACATGGCTCTCCATGTCGTGTTTGCACCAGCCAACTAGCCCGGGCAACGTGAATTTCTCCTTGGATGCGGCGGCTACAAACCAACCTAATGAGCGCCTGGCATGGTGGACATACCCGAAGACTGCAACACCTCTAGTCAGACACAACGATGGGACATGATGCAATAGGACAACACTAAACACTATGTAGTAATTGGGTAGGCCCTAACAGAAAGAAGCCAAACAACAACATCGTTCCCATCAGCAGCCATGAACATCACACCTTCACAAGTCAACATGGACCAACTTTCACCATCCCTTTAACGTCGACCACACCAAACGTAAATGGGAACAAGCATTAGCCACTGTTGTGGACAAATTAGCACGACTAAATTGTTTTGAACTGGCGAGATGCTTAAACTTCAACGCTCGGCCAATTTGATTCACCATGGACAACCATCACGACACGATGAACCAACAAACTGGCAACCAACGCATTAGAGCAACCCCAAGGCCAAATCCCATCACCGTATCGGTTCATACCATTAAAGTCAATGCAACCCCGAAGCTAAAGCCCATCACCATTAAGGCTAGCACCTATATAAACCCCCATCGGACTATTGCAGCGACAAGAAACGTGCCACGGCCAAAACCATCGCCGCCATTTAAAACTCGTTGCCAAATAGACAACAAAGATGAACAGAGAAACCGTGTGTCTTGCGGTGGCACGATGAAAGGAAAAAGATGCCAAACAGAAGAGAACATGTCCACGAACAATGGAAGAAAGGAGCTACCCACCTAAGATAGACACGACACATCGACAGACGTTGAACTACACGCTTTTAGACGCCATAGAACAGAGGAGGTTGCACATCCATGCTTGAAGGCAGAGGCTGGAAGCGTGCGGGAAGGGAGAGATTGGGGACGTGTTCGACCGTCATGATGGGAACGGGAAAAGAGCGCTCCAGAGCATGAGCTACGAAGCGATGTGAGAGGTAGGCCAATGTGTGTGGTGACCGACGTGCGGCATAAAACAACGGACTTATAGGAAAACATATCTGCCTTAAGAAAAAGACCGAACAACCCTTGGGGCTGCATTCAGATGTGTGGAGGTGTTGGCCAGCCAACATCCCGCCATCGCAACCCCTGGCTGAATGGCCCTTGTGGGCCGCTAACTCATTGTTGCGGCTCCAGGCCAAATGGCCCTCGTGGGCGACTAACTCACTGCCGCGACCCCTTGCCGGATGGCCCTCTCCAACCACCCGACTGTCGCATGTTGAGTCGGTTGACCGTGCGTGCCCGGCTTGCGTGCGCGACACAACATGCAAGGAGCAAACAATGGTGACAGCCTGGCCCGACTCGCGTGAGCGAAACGGCTGACGCGGTCACTTGTTTGACTTACTGCTTCCGTGATTGACCCCCAGTGGCTCGTTGCCATTTGGATAGAGCCAAATAAGAAACAAATATAGTGTACCTCTAGTGGGCCACTTTTCTGTCCTCCATTAATTCGGGACCGAAGCACTACAGTCTAAAAGGTTTTTGGTTCACCTTCAAGGATCCACAACCACCGAGATACACCCGAGTGAATTGCAGTTGTGGTGCGCCTCCAATGAGCCACCAACTGGACACCGAACCGCTTGGGGGCCGAAGGCCATACTCTCTGTTCTAGTCCTGACACGAATTTGGAGGGTATTCTCCGAGAGCGACTCCAGGTAGACTGAACCAGTCGGGAAACCATATATCACTATGGAATTTAGTCAGAACTTATGACATGAACTATGGGGCTGTTTGGATGGCAACCGACACACGCCTTACCAAAATATAAGTGTTGACCCAAATCATGAGTGTCTGTTTGGTTGGATGCCAAATTTTCTAACCAACGACAAAATTTTGACCGTAGTTCACTTTTTACGCCAACTCCAGAGCGAATCAGCAACGGCGAATTCGATTGCCAATTATTTGACTCGCCTCGATTTGGTGTGGCTGGCCATGGCGCCATTCAAATGAGCCCTAAAGAACCTCTACAATAAAGGTGGTTGAGCACATGAATGAATGCAGAGGCAGACAGACGATACACCCTGCTTCTCCATAAAATTAACATATGTTCAAAATCTTGAGCGCATATTCAGATTTCATAGTCGGATTTCAAATGTGAGTGACCATGTGTCTAAAGTGACATATCAACACGGAATCCACTATATCACATCTATTCAACATACATAAATATTACTCATGGCGGTAACCAACGAATGACCACCTGCAGGAAACTGAGAATTCACTAAACTTCATATATTTACCGCAAATAATGTTGTAATCAAATTTAAGTTTCACCGACAGGTTTTCTTCCTATAACCGAAGATCAACCATGCATGGAAATTTACAAAAACAACCTAACTTTGCATACTTCTTTTAGATAAGGAGGAAGACCTCCGGCCTCTACATCTGGACGATGCATACAACCATTTTTATTAATTATTAACACGAGACCTTACAAAGTCATACAACAGTAAGACTAAAGCCACCGTCTAAGCAACATCTGTCGCTACTCCTATCTAGTTGATGAAGGGACGCTGATAGTCCGGGCCTAATACCAAACAGACCTCGCAGCCAAACCTAACATCTAAGACCCGAGGTCCCAACCAGGACGCATGCCGGGTATGAGGCCGCCGCAGCCACCTGCCACCAATCCATCTTCAGAGCTATACTACTGCATCTACCTTGCCCGGTCTAGCTGCCGCCGACGCCACCATGATGCCAGACAGCGTCACCCTCCTATGCGAGTCCATCTCCGCGCATCAGCCACCGAGTCTCCACTACGCCACGCCGCCGAGATCCGCCGTCATCAATGGGCAAGATAAATCACCACTCCTCCTCTTATCCCCACCAACCAGCACTTGCTCCAAAATGATGCCCCCGGGAGGGAGAACGATACCGAAAGCGTCGTCATCGTCCGATTTGGTAGACCCAGATCTAGGGTTTCCCCCGGAACTTCCCGATCAGGTTGACGTGACCTGGAACGACGATGCCTCAAGAAGGGAACGACGTCCACGACGCTGCCATCGTCCGCCAAGACCGCAGTCGGGCGCGATTTTCACCGAAAGCCATGTCGTCCTGATCTCACGGCTGGCTGGAACCGAGCGGAACCTCACCATGAAGACGTATGGTGCCATCGAAAAGCCGGTTGAGGACCTCCGGCCGCCCTACCCCGGCCCCATCACGCGCCGCCAGCCGGCCATAGCCGAACCACAACGGATCTGGCTGGGACGCCAGATCCACGGCCATCGCCGCCGCCAATCGCATAGCGGAGAATCCCACCGGAGGACCTCGCCAGCCCTGGATTCGCCGCACAGCCATGACGCCGCCATGGCTACCGTGCGAAGACCCCGCACGAGGTGCCCCAACCGCATGATGGGAGATCCATCGCTTCCCTCCTGCCCTAGCCCTTTAGGCGTCGGGCGCCGCCACCACCGCGGCCAGTGCCGGCGGCAACGATCTGCCTAGTGGGAAGGCTGGCGGTGCGAGGAGTTAGGTCCCCTAGCGTCGCCCTGGGTGGCGGCGCGAGGGTGCCTCGACGGTAACTTTGCATACTTAACGTAATTTCAAAAAATAAAATGAATTCCATGGGCTAGGTTCCGCAGGTAAGATCAGCCAGGTGTCACAGAAATGTCATATCAGCCGGGCAAAAAGAGCTACTACAACAAAAGAAATCAAAGGACAGCGACCACTATAGCCGAGAAGAAAGAAAACCAGGTAGTACTGTATGCAAGAAAGAAGCAAAGCAGGCTGCTGCCATGCACAAGGGAAGGGAAGGAAAGAGAAGTGAAGGCTCAAGGGGAGGGGGGCGAGAAAAGGGAGGCGGGAATAGTCCGGAGCAGCAAGCCAACCAACTCCTCGCCGGATCACGGGCATTTTCCCTCCAAAAAGCTTCCTCTCCTCCTTTTTCCCCTTTTCCCCAACGCTCTTATCTCCTCCCTCGTCCATCCAACCAAGCTAGCAATCTCTCTCTCTCTCATCCTCCACGCGGCGCGCGGTTCTTTCTTTCTTGGCTAGCTCCTCGATCAAGGTGTTCGCGCTCAGGCGTGCGGGTCGATGCGCATGGAGGGTGGAGGCGCCGGGGCAGGAGGAGGAGGCCTCGGCGGCGAGGCGCAGATCAAGGGCACGCTCACCCACGGCGGCAGGTACGTGCAGTACAACGTCTACGGGAACCTCTTTGAGGTCTCTGCTAAGTACGTCCCGCCCATCCGACCTGTCGGCCGCGGCGCCTGCGGCATCATCTGGTACGTACGTCATGCGCTGCATCTGCTCGCGTATATTCCTCAGTTACCTCATAATATGGATTGCTTTGCTCGATCAGCTGACTGCGATCCTGTTGCAAGTTCGCTATAGCATATACGACTGAAAGTGGGTCTTGATTAAAGCTACAAATTACCATAGCCTAGCGTATATATAGTATTAAACCGTAAAAGCTTTCTCTAATGGACCAGTACTAGTTACAGTAATTGTTATGGTATATGGCTATATTTAACAGAAAAAATAGCTTCTCAATACTAAAAGGAAACAAGAGCTGTTTCTAGTTGATTTTGAGCCTCTGGTGACAAATTCTTTTCTGTGATCTTCTTCTTCAGTGCTGCTGTAAATGCACAGACTCGTGAGGAGGTCGCTATCAAGAAGATTGGTAATGCGTTTGACAACCAGATCGATGCCAAACGCACTTTGCGAGAAGTAAAGCTGCTTCGCCACATGAATCATGAGAATGTGAGCCATCTTTCCTTCTCTCTCATGTGCCTTCTTGTGATAAACCTCTGTGGGTCACATGCTCATATCTGAAATGTTTTGTGATTTCTATTTGACCATGATTAACTCTGTAGTTTATAGCAAAGGTAAGCCGTCCTGAGGAGATCTGCCGGAAATTCTGGTGATTCTCTTTCAAAGCCAGAATCGCCTGTCATTATTTAGTTACTATACAGATGACATGTGTGACAAAAGTTGAAGTTCCCTACCTGTGCTACTGTGTTTAAACTTTTAACTATCTTGCAACATAAGTCCACGTGATGTTGATTATCTCCACTTATGATGTCGAAAATATATATGGTGTGACCCTGAATTTGGTGGTATGATCATGACAAAATCTGACTTTTGGCAGGTGATTTCAATAAAGGACATCATACGCCCAACAAGGCGGGAGAACTTCAACGATGTTTACATTGTCTACGAACTGATGGACACTGATCTTCACCACCTTCTAAGATCAAACCAGCCACTCACAGATGATCACTGTCAGGTATGTACATTGTTCTTTCCATCATCCCATCAGCATCAGCCCAAACATTCCACAATTGGTCAGCTTTCCTTTCACCTTAACATTTTCATGATGCAGTATTTTCTCTACCAAGTGCTCCGAGGATTGAAGTATGTGCATTCAGCAAAGGTCTTGCACCGGGACCTCAGGCCGAGCAACCTGCTGCTCAATGCCAAGTGTGAACTCAAGATTGGAGATTTTGGCTTGGCTAGGACCACCACTGAGACTGACTTCATGATGGAGTATGTTGTTACTCGGTGGTACAGGGCGCCGGAGCTCCTGCTCAACTGCTCGGAGTATACTGCAGCAATTGATATCTGGTCAGTGGGTTGCATCCTCGGTGAGATTGCTATGAGGGAGCCACTGTTTCCTGGAAAAGATTATGTTCATCAGCTGAGGCTAATTACTGAGGTATGGCCACTCACTACTACACGAGTCAAGATTTTGTTTTTTCCCTTCTGTTTCTTTTTTCTTCTTTTTGTATATTCTCCTGCTCTCTTTTTGCCTCGGAGTCTGACACTATGATTGTCAGTTCTGATTTAGCATAGGTTCCAACTGCTATGATTTTTCCATGCTTATATCTCTTGGATTACTAACTCAATTAGCACAAGTACACCACATAGGTTGAAGCTTACACTGGTATCTGGTGTAGCATGATACTTCATGCATATGCCTTCATTCAGACTAATGTTTTGGTCCAAGCATGTGATTATTCTAGATGCACTAACATCTCTTGTTCTACTAAATGGAAATGTCTAATGAATCTTCTTGACGCTGTTTGTAATCCTGATTCATTCTTGATCCAAAGCTGATAGGCTCACCAGATGACACGAGCCTTGGGTTTCTTCGAAGTGATAATGCCCGCAGATACGTGAGGTCTCTTCCTCAATACCCGAAACAGCATTTTGGTTCACGGTTCCCCAGTATGTCCACTGGCGCCATGGATTTGCTTGAGAGGATGCTCGTATTTGATCCGAGCAAGAGGATTACTGGTAATCTTGCAGCATAGCGTGATCTTGCTTAATTGCAAAATGACAAATTTAATAATGTGAACCATCATTTCAGAATCGTGTGTGAATCATTAAAACCAAGTTGAAATGACACTTCTTACGATAATTAAACCGTTAATGTAAGAAATATTACGAGGAACTTTCTCTTGGAAGTATAACCTTTACTTATTTTCTTGGTGGCTTCGCAGTTGATGAGGCTCTATGCCATCCTTATTTAGCATCCCTTCATGAGATAAATGATGAACCTGTCTGCCCAGCGCCTTTCAGCTTCGACTTCGAGCAGCCATCATTTACTGAGGAAGATATCAAAGAACTCATTTGGAGGGAGGCTCTCAAGTTCAACCCGGAACCAATTCACTGAAAAGTTCCCAATGTAGAAAAAGAAGCAATTTCAAATGGCAAATCTATCAGCTCCGTGGGAAAATACATGAGCTGACAGCACGATGTACAGAGTAATGAGTGATCACGTCTCAGCATCTTGTCATACGGCTTTGTTGATGACACCATGACTTCGAAAACCTGGAAATTTAGGAAACATGAACGCTTGATCAATAATTTGTTAGCCAAAAAAAGTGGGGCCATTATCTGTATCATGTCAGGTTGTATCTACCCCCTTTTTGTTGTATGCTTAACAAGACCTGAGTTATGGACTATGGTATTACAGCTTCCGGCCACTCTCCGGTCGTCAGTGTTGTTCACCATCCAACAGATGTTACTTATTATTATTGTGTTCTAAACCCTGCAATCAATATACATGTAGTCTATTGTGTCCCGGATACACCTAAGAAAGTTGTCGATTGTGCAGTTGCACTAGTTTGACCAAGAGATTGATAATTTGAATGATATTAGTATTTTTGTATTTTTGGAATAAATAAAACTAGGAAAATAGAAGTGTACAAAATGAGGTTTTAATTGTTCACTAGTGGCAACTCGCAACATTAATAACTTCATTAACATATATGATATAACCTCACAAAATGTGGTAAAGGATCACATCCAAATTTCTTGCTTTATTGGATGAAAATAGGATGAGACCCCATAAACATGGTAAAAAGTCACACCCAATGTCTTTCTAATCTAGATCTAATGGGCACGCCATTGTCAATTGTGCAGTTGCACTAGTTTGACCAAGAGATTGATAATTTGAATGATATAAGTATTTTTGTATTTTTGGAATAAATAAAACTAGGAAAATAGAAGTGTACAAAATGAGGTTTTAATTGTTCACTAGTGGCAACTCGCAACATTAATAACTTCATTAACATATATGATATAACCTCACAAAATGTGCTAAAGGATCACATCCAAATTTCTTGCTTTATTGGATGAAAATAGGATGAGACCCCATAAACATGGTAAAAAGTCACACCCAATGTCTTTCTAATCTAGATCTAATGGGCACGCCATTGTCACCTGAGGTGTCTCCCAAAACAATTTACTAAACAATCGCCATATGATCTCATGGTTCTCAAAGTTCAATACACAATATGAATAAGATTCAATCCAAGATAAAGAAATTCATAATCAGAGATACATCATATAGTTTACCCGCATTAATAATGCCCAAGGTCAAAATCGTGTTCGGCAGCTCATGAGAGAGAGACAGAGAGAGAGAGAGAGAGAGAGATGACATGTAGCTACTACTTACAAATCTTAGCCCCTAGTATTGACTAATACTCTTGCATCGTCATGCAACAAGGGTCGATGGAGAGGTCCAACACAACTATTCTCCCCTTCGACAGAGTGGTAGAACAGGGTCAGATTAGACCACCTCGGAACGTGTTGAGGCGGCGGCGGAAAAATAGCGAGGGGGCGAGATATAAGTTACCGGGAAGAAGAGGTGGCGAGATAGAGTTAGGCGGGCCCCACACGCACCCTAGAATCCAAGCATGTGGACCCCTGGGGCCTCCCACTTGTTGGTCTTCCCACCGTGTTGCCTCCTCGCTAAAAATCGTCTCCATGTTTTTTCCTGATTTTTCATATCTTTGTAAAAAAACTCATTTTCTGTTAAGCCAAACCAGTGACTAGTACTCTGACACTTCATTATTATGTTAATCTAGAAAAATGATAGATGCATATATGGCATGAATATAGCATGAACCGTTACAAAAATTATGGATGCGTTTAGGGTGTACCGTTGTGTCCATTGGGCCACTTGGTAGATGACACAATCGAGATCCTTGTGGTCCTAAAACTGTTAATTCAAAGACTGCATCGATGTAGATGTATGATTAGACACAATCAAGATCCCTTTTTTTGCTCTCAGAGTAGCTTAGGACCATTGGTCGTGAACTCGTGCATGCACTCAAGGAGAGGAGGGCTTAGTAGCTACTCTACCAGTATAGGTGCCTGTTAGTTTGGTCTTGAGCTTCGGCTCTAGGCCCCTAGAAGAACAAGTGCAAATAAACAACAAACTTCTACCCTAGGCTTGAGAGAAGCTCTTCTCTTAATTGCACTATAAAGCAGAAAGCACATCCACAGGTTCTTCCCCCTCCCTCCACTAGAATTGCAACTATTCCCCATAGATATGATCTACAGTGGCACCGCAATTACCAAAAAAAACTACAACTATGTTATATACTCGTCTCCATTTGGAGAATCTCTCTCCCCACACACCCACCCGCATCTCATCCCCCTCTCTCCTCGCCAGGAAAAAGTGACGAGTGGCTAGGGATTTATTTCCTTGTTATCGTCTGCCTTTGAACTCCGCCTATGTTGTCTCAACATAGCCGGTCCCAAGCCCGGGTAAAGGAGGAGGGTTGTGATAGGCTTGGCGAGCCAACGTAAAAACTCAGCCACTCTTATAGAGATGAAACCCAAAAGATTTTCGTTGGGGCGTAACCCTCTCAGCGACGCGCCACATCGGAACCCGAGTGTGGTGGAAAATGGGCAAGGGCCGGGCCGTCACCCCCCAAGTGGCGCGCCGTATCTTGATCTGGATACGGTGGCAAGTGAGCGAGGATCGGGTCGTCGCATCCTTAGTGGCGCGCTACATCGGCGCCCGGATGTAGTGGAAAATGAGCAAGGGTCTTCGCATTTGACTCGACGAGTGCGAAGGGTAAGGAAGCTAGCCGAGCCTAGAAGGATTCGCTTAGGTAGCTGGAACATAGGGTATCTGACAGGGAAGCTTCGGGAGCTAGTTGATGCAGCAGTGAGGAGAGGTGTTGATATCCTTTGCGTCCAAGAAACCAAATGGAGAGGACAGAAGGCGAAGGAGGTGGAGGATACCGGCTTCAAGCTGTGGTACACGGGGACGGCTGCAAACAGAAATGGCGTAGGCATCTTGATCAACAAGAGCCTCAAGTATGGAGTGGTAGACGTCAGGAGACGTGGGGACCAGATTATCCTGGTCAAGCTGGTAGCTGAGGACTTGGTTCTCAATGTTATCAGCGCATATGCCCTGCAAGTAGGCCACAATGAGAGCACCAAGAGGGAGTTCTGGGAAGGCTTGGAAGACATGGTTAGGAGTGTACCGATTGGTGAGAAGCTCTTCATAGGAGGAGACCTCAATGGCCACGTGGGTACATCTCACACAGGTTTTGAAGGGGCGCATGGGGGCTTTGGCTATGGCATCAGGAATCAAGAAGGAGAAGATGTCTTAAGCTTTGCTCTAGCCTACAACATGATTGTAGCTAACACCCTCTTTAGAAAGAGAGAATCACATCTGGTGACTTTTAGTAGTGGCCAACACTCTAGCCAGATTGATTTCATCCTCTCGAGAAGAGAAGATAGGCGTGCGTGCCTAGACTGTAAGGTGATACCTGGGGAGAGTGTTGTACCCCAGCATAAGCTGGTGGTTGCTGACTTCCGCTTTCGGATTCGTGTCCAGCGGGATAAGCGTGCCAAGGTCGCTAGAACGAAGTGGTGGAAGCTCAAGGGGGAGGTAGCTCAGGTGTTCAAGGAGAGGGTATTTAAGGAGGGCCCTTGGGAGGAAGGAGGGGATGCGGACAATGTGTGGATGAAGATGGCGACTTGCATTTGTAAGGTGGCCTCGGAGGAGTTTGGAGTGTCCAGGGGAAGGAGAAGCGAAGATAAGGATACCTGGTGGTGGAATGATGATGTCCAGAAGGCGCTTAAAGAGAAGAAAGATTGCTTCAGACGCCTATACCTGGATAGGAGTGCAGACAACATAGAGAAGTACAAGATGGCGAAGAAGGCCGCAAAGCGAGCTGTTGGTGAAGCAAGGGGTCGGGCATATGAGGAACTCTACCAACGGTTAGGCACGAAGGAAGGTGAAAGGGACATCTATAAGATGGCTAAGATCCGGGAGAGGAAGACGAGGGATATTGGCCAAGTCAAATGCATCAAGGACGGAGCAGGCCAACTCTTGGTGAAGGACGAAGAGATTAAGCATAGATGGCGGGAGTACTTCGACAAGCTGTTCAATGGGGAGAATGAGAGTTCTACCATTGAACTGAATGACTCCTTTGATGAGGCCAACATGCGTTTTGTGCGGCGCATCCAGGAGTCTGAGGTGAAGGAGGCTTTAAAAAGGATGAAAGGAGGCAAGGCGATGGGCCCTGATTGTATCCCCATTGAGGTGTGGAAAGGTCTCGGGGACATAGCGATAGTATGGCTAACCAAGCTTTTCAACCTCATTTTTCGGGCAAACAAGATGCCAGAAGAATGGAGACGGAGTATATTAGTACCAATCTTCAAGAACAAGGGGGATGTTTAGAGTTGTACTAATTACCATGGAATTAAGCTGATGAGCCATACAATGAAGCTATGGGAGAGAGTCATTGAGCACCGCTTAAGAAGAATGACAAGCGTGACCAAAAATCAGTTTGGTTTCATGCCTGGGAGGTCGACCATGGAAGCCATTTTCTTGGTACGACAACTTATGGAGAGATATAGGGAGCATAAGAAGGACTTGCATATGGTGTTCATTGACTTGGAGAAGGCCTATGATAAGATACCGCGGAATGTCATGTGGTGGGCCTTGGAGAAACACAAAGTCCCAGCAAAGTACATTACCCTCATCAAGGACATGTACAATAATGTTGTGACAAGTATTCGAACAAGTGATGTCGACACCGATGACTTCCCGATTAAGATAGGACTGCATCAGGGGTCAGCTTTGAGCCCTTATCTTTTTGCATTGGTGATGGATGAGGTCACAAGGGGTATACAAGGAGATATCCCATGGTGTATGCTCTTTGCGGATGATGTGGTGCTAGTTGACGATAGTCGGACGGGGGTAAATAGGAAGTTAGAGTTATGGAGACAAACCTTGGAATCGAAAGGGTTTAGGCTTAGTACAACTAAAACCGAGTACATGATGTGCGGTTTCAGTACTACTAGCTGTGAGGAGGAGGAGGTTAGCCTTGATGTCCAGGTGGTACCTCGGAAGGACACCTT